GGGGGAGATAGAGAAGCCACGCCGGTAATTGGGTCTGCGTCACAGACCCCAGCGGGGGAGGCACGGCGGCGGGTGAAGTTTCTTGCTGCGTCATTAGTACGCACTGGGAGGGGTCGGAGCGCCCGGGTCCGTCTGGGGCTGCGTTGGCTGCCTTTGGCCAGCAGGGGGCGCGTCTGGTTTACCCTCTCTCGTTCCCTCCTACCGGCTGCGTAAACCTCGCCCCTCCGCGGTGATGGTTCATATAATAAAGTGTACAGTACTACTGTCTCTAAGATTGGTTGCCACCTTTTTTATGGCAAGGCTCTTATTCCTTTTAATGGCGGCTTGATCAGGAGAGCGTCAGTTGATGACGAGAAGGGCTTCCCCTCTTGTATTGCTGCCGATCAACACAGCTGTGGAAAAATACAAGAGCCTTGCCAAAGGGTGTATATTTAGCCGGGAGAAAGCCCCCTTCGTGTTCAACCCCAGGGAACCTCGGTAGTAAAAAGTTGCAATCCCAGGAAGAACAGGAAGGCCACCGGTCCCCCAAGCCTGTCATACTCTGCCTTGTTAGCTGACCTGGTCAGGAGTCTGGTACAGGTACTTTTATCCTCACTCCAGAAAGTCCCAGGTTCCATTCAGTCCAGGCTCTCTTGTCACTCTTGCAGGCTTCTGTGACATGCCTACAGGCATTTTCCTCTAGGCTTGAAAAACAGCTGCTTGTCCTCTGAAATCTTGCAGACTGATCACAAATTCTGATTCATAGAAGTACAGAGTGATGGAGTTGGAAGGGACTTCTAAGACCATGGAGTCCAAACCCCTGCTCGGTGCAGGAATCCAAGACAAAGTAGATCTGATCGATGGCTGTGTAACTTTCTCTTGAATATTTCCAGCTTGTAGAGGAATCCAAGACAAAGTAGATCTGATCGATGGCTTTCTCAACTTTCAACTTTCTCTTGAATATTTCCAGCTTGTAGCACTCATCACCCCCTGTGATAATTGGTTGTACTGCTCCAATGGTTAAGAAGTGTTTCCTGATACTCAACTGAAATATGACTTTTTGCAAGTTGAACAGAATGGGAAGGGGGCTGGAACAAGTACTGTTGAATGTTGGCTGTGCCGGCTAGGGTCGATGGAGGATGTTGTGACATCCAGATGTGACAGAATCTGGACATCACATATTACCTGTTCTGTTCTATGTAGTTGGTTGGTGAATAGATCTGTTGTAGTTGGCATATGTGGAATTAACCGCAGTTTCTCCGTTTTTGTTATTGAAAAGGTATTGAAAATCTGCCCTGTGAATTACAGAGGAACTTCCAGCTTATGCGTGAGTTGGATCAGCGAACAGAAGGTGTGGTCAAGCAATATGTGTTATACACTGTCTAAGCTTAATTGTAACCTTACAAAAGGTGATTCAGCCAGGACATGAATACTGGTGTTTGATCTGTGCACAGATTATAAGTGTGTGGCTCGCATATTATTCATTTCATTTTAAAGTGGAAGCCGATTGTAATAATGTAGTTTCCTTAGTTCCTAATTCCTAGGAAAATCGGTGCATTTTGAGGCTTGGGGTCATAATATGGCTCACAGTTTAATTTTCTGTTGCCTTTGACAGAATATGAGAGGAGAGTTACTTAACACTCTGTCTTCTTTTTGAGTTTGACAGAAAAGTTCTGATGAATCTAGATGTGGAGAGACAAACCTTGCAAACAGATACAGGCTTCTGTTTGACAGTTCTAGTATTGTTATTCCTTTGATTATAAAAAAACTGTGATACTGGAAATAGACTGTGATCCTTAATTTCAATCCTGTGTATGCGTTTTTGGTGTTAAGTCTATTTGAATTCACAGGACTTCTTTCTGCATAAATGTGCCCAGGATTGGGTGGCTGTGTTATAATAGCTGTTTCAATGCAAGTTCCCTACTTAGGATGAGGGTAGCAACTTAGAAGCTCCAGGAAGGAAATGAATCCCACTGCACAGAGAGGCTGCACAGTGTCTACGCATAATGATGTAGCATAGTTTACTCCAAGGCTGATAAAAGTCTAGCGTTCCAGATGTAGTTGGAATGCAGCCCTCATCAGACCTAGCCAGCATATACAATGGTAAGGAATCTGAAGTTCAGCAACATTGTAGGGCAAGGTTTCACCCATACCTAGTGTATTATGGTGGGAACAAAGTGCAGTGAATCTTGAGTTCATATACTCTTCTGGCATGGTCATAAGCTGATTGGAAACTTTAATTATATAGTTTGATGTTGTATTTGAAACTTAAACTGCAGATAATCTTAAACATCGTTATGTGAAACAGGCTGGTTTCGTAAACTGACACTGGCTTATTTGAAACAACCCATAGTTAAAGCTCAGCTTTGAATAACGTGGGACATTATATTTAACTAAAGATAGAAATATTTCTAAACTCTTTCTTAAAACTGCACCAAAGAAAGAGGGATAGAAAGATTTCACCCCACAGTGCAGTCTTATATAGCCCAAACTAAAAAAGGAACCTTCTAATTAGCAGCAATCTGCCATTACCAGTGCCGTCACTCCTGTTGTGCAAATGGAACTATGCAACAGTATACTGATCATTAAGACTAATGAAGCTTAAATGAATACTGGATTTCATACACATGCTGTACCCCATTGCCCTTCAGACAAGAAAGCAGAAATTGACAGTCTTGCTGCTCAGTACATTTCAACTGTGAGGAACCTATCATCGGAGCAACGTGTGGAAATCCTGCAGAAGATCCAGAATGCCTATGCAAAATGCAAAGAGTACAGTGATGACAAAGTGCAGCTGGCCATGCAGACCTATGAGATGGTAAGCTAAATTTTTTTAAATATATGTAGTATTCCCAGTGTTTCAAGGAAAGCTGACTGTCTACTCATCCTACCAGATGAAAAAGCCACCCAGTGCATTTCAGACGTCTTCCTTAATTATCTGTAGCTTGTGTCACAGACTGAGGAGTCTAGTTGTTGTTGACTGACAAAAGCACAGAGGTTTAGTAATCCAGGGTTTAGATTAAGTTCAAAGAGATGAGGGGCAGACTTGCCTTATCATTTTGTGACTGAAGAGATTCTTAGTTGTGCTTGGAGTTGTGCGTAATGTTGTAATCTTTCACTGTGTAATTGTTTAATCATTTACAGTCTGGGACCAATGGGTCAAAAACCTGAAGTTCATCTTAGAATGCTACCTGCTGGCAAACAATTTGAGTTGTCAGTCATGCATTTATCAGAATTCTCTCTGTAGGTACATTTTCTAAAAGAAGTTTATGTATTGGAATCTTATCTTGGGGAACAACTTAACTGTTATGCAACGGTGTAGGAGATGCTTAAAATTTTAGGCAGCACTAGTCCAAGACATTTTACTGCCTGGGACAGAGCACAATATGTCACAAACTCCATTCCTAGTCTATGTGCAAATGCCAACTGGACTAGCACTTGTATTTTAGTTCAGAATGGTGATGGAATAGCATCCTCAACTGTATCTGAAGTTACAAGCGCATGAACCTATGACCTCCAGAAGAGGGGAATGGAGGTCATAGGGAACAATTTATGTTACTGCATTCTATTCATGGGAAGAGCATTTTATTCTGTGTTTATATGTATGACCAGGATTTCAAATAGGGGCAGGGTGCCCTGATTGAAGGGGAGCTCATAGTGCCTGTAATGATTCTTGTAATGATCCTGAGGAATTTGAAGTAAAATAGTACAGTACATAGAGGTAAGCTGACTACTTACTCCCCTTCCCAGAAATCTGTAATTTGCATATGTAGATATTATGAACTTCCAGAAAAGCTAGATGTCAGATTTAAAATTCTTAACCAGCCATGGTCAGCAGGAATGGGAAGTGATCTCCTGAACTGAGGTAACGAATAAAGAAGGAAGATTCTAATTAGTTCAAGCATCTGGGAATTCATTTAACTATGGATCTGGCAAATTGGTAGAGATGCAAGTCAGAGATACAAGTGGTTTTGTTTTCTTTATTAGAATTATGTCTCTTCCTGATGTAGGTAGATAAGCACATTCGACGACTGGACGCTGACTTGGCACGATTCGAAGCTGACCTGAAGGATAAACTGGAAGGAAGTGACTTTGAAATTCCTGCAACACAAAATTTGAAAAGTGTGTACATTATTAACAGTATCATCTCACTGCAAAAAACTCCTTATGGCTCAAAATCACATGTTGTAATTTCAGAATTCGTACTTTGCCTTTCCCTTTCAACAGGAAGTTTTCTAATGCATGGTGAGAGTTTATTATAGAAAGCATATTTGCATCTTCTTACATTTGGGTTCTCAGGTGTTATGCCTTATACAGTGGGGTCTCGACTTACAAACGGCTCGACATACGAACGTTTCGACTTACGAACCGCTCTCATAGGACTATATGGACTCGACTTACGAACTTAGATTCGAGTGACGAACTCTTTTTTTCCCTTTTTTTAAAAGCTAAGTCATCTTAGGTTAAAAGGAAAAAAGAAAAAATTATCCCCCTCTAGTGGCAGAAGGCGGAATAGCAGCTTCCCATTAGTTTCTATGGACGAAAAGAGCAGATACGGATTAAATGGTTTTCAATGCATTCCTATGGGAAATGCAGATTCGACTTAAGAACTTTTCGACTTGAGAACTGCCTTCCAATACGGATTAAGTTCGTAAGTCGAGACCCCACTGTAATAGCACAATGTTCTATATGAAGGATTGTCCAATCCAGGTCCAGTTTAAAGATAAACATTATAAAAAGAGAAAACAGGTAGCTTGAGCTTACTTATCAGCTAAATAGATGTGTTGCATTTGAAATTCCAATAATACTACTAACAACAAAAACAACGATAGTGCGCTGTCACAAGTGAATTCTAACTTGTGATGACCTTTCCAGGGTTTCCCAGGTAGAGAGTACACAAAAGTGGTTGACCCTCCCCCCCTGGGACTGTGCAACTTCTCCAAGGTCACGGGCTGGCTCTTCTCCCTGGGGCCGCAGTGGGGAACGGAACTCATAACTTCTGGCTTTGCAGCCAAATACAGTACCTAACTCACTGAGCTTCCCAGCCATCTGGGAGGCGGGGAAGGAATAATAATAATTGCTGTTTTAATAGCTGTGTAAACCTAAATGTGCGTATGTTAATGCTGTTTGTTGCTGCTTTGATGATGCATAAGTAGTTATGCTGTACTGCAGGCACAAAGAAAGGAATAAGAAGGATTGGGGGGGAGGGGGGCAAGAGCGAGACTGGCCTAGACTACAACGTCTGTTGCATAAACGTTGCGTAAGATTTTATTGGATAAAATTTCCGTATACCATAAGGTTGGTGCAAAGCAGGGAAGGTAATGGTGATATTAATTATTCATAGTACTTGAAGGAGTAATCTTCACCCATACTGACATGTCCCATCCTTAAATCAGGGTACATAGGCCACCCAGGCTATAACCAAGGCCCACAGGAGTATTTTAGCACCTGAGGCAGAAAATACCTCAGGTACTGTATATCCCTCAGGTTTGCCATTACATGGCAAACAGTTTTCATGGTGACTACAATGGGTTGCCTGAGGCATCCTGCAGAGCCATTCCAATTTTACTGTAAAGTGCAAAACTGTACTGGGATTGCTTCAGAAGTGGAAGTTGTTTTTGAACAATTGCTCTCCATTTTGTAAAGCTGTGTATGAGGGAGAGAAAGAGAGATGTGCTATCAAGTCAGAACCTACTTATTGTGACCTTAACAGGGCTTTCAGTATAAGTAAGATTTTTAAAGAGTGATTGCACCAGTGCTGTCCCTGCTACAGTGAATTTCCATGGCTGAGCAGAAATTTCAACCCAGGTCTCCTGAATCCCAGTCTGTCATTGTATTCACTTCACCTCCTCTTAATAGTGCATATATTAGTAACAATGCCTGAATAATTTCAAAGTAGTATCATTTCTTGAATTACTAGAAGTATTTTGAAGTAATATAAACATACAAACCTTTCTCTTAAGGTGTAATACACTAGAAATAACTATTTTTCAGAGGGGCGAATTCCAAAAGATAAGAAAAGTTCACGGGGTCGAGGCCGGCGGACATCAGAAGAAGAGGCTCCCTTAAGAAAGAAACCAAGACGAAGGTAAATAGTTGTATGTGCAATCTCTTGGCAGATTGCTCCAGAACTGCCTTGGAGTACTACTGCCCTTATCTTATTGGGATCTGCATGAGCTTAAGTGGTTTGTGGACTGTGATCTAAGCTCCTAATGATAATTCATAATTACTTGACATCAGTTCAATTATGACGTATGGCTTCTCAAGAGTTTTCTACATGTAGAATACTCAGAAATGGTTTACTATTCCATTTTTAAGGACTGTACAGCTTGCTGGAGACCTCACAGGCAGACTCTGCTTCTGTTCGGTAAAATGGGGAATCAAATTCCTGACACCCGGCTCTGCTCTATCTCACTGTGCTAGGCAGAGTCAGGCCCAAGAGTCCTTACACATTATTTATGGCAAAGGTGTATAATTTTAAAACACAAACCAAAATCTTATGGCTTCCTTATGGCATTTCCTTAATGTACATCTTTAATTTTCAGACTAATTCTGTGAATACAAAAGCCATTTAATTTTGGTCTATGTGCTACTTCCTTCTATACATAATTGCAATATAATTCACATTGGCTTTTTTTAAAGTTAAATATTCACATTGCTCAGTGTTGAATGTTGCCCTCACAATATTTTGAATAGATTACTGTTTCAGGATGCAAAATAAAAAGAAATGGGAAAAACCCTTGAAGATTTGTATCACTTTAAGGATCAACAGTTGCATTTCAATATGAGCTTTCATGGATCCTAACCCAATGTTAGCATTCCTTATTGACACAATCTACTGGGAGTCTTTACCTCCATTTCCACTGAAATAAATACATGATGCACAATTCTACAACTACTCTTTTTAGCAGTTCCTATTGGTTTCAAGAGCTGGCTGGACAGCTCAGTGAGTTAGGCATCTGTCTGCAGAGGCACAGGTTGGGAATTCCTCAGTGTTCATCCCAGACAGTCAGCTGTGTGGCTTTAGGCAAGCTGAACAGTCCCAGGATGCCTCCAGGAGAAGGGAATTGTAAACTGCTTCTGAGTATTCTCTACCTAGAAAACCCTGAAAAGGATTGCTGTAAGTCAGAACTGACTTTTATGATGGTGATGATGATGATCTCAAGGCATATTTACCCTTTAGAAAAGAAGACTGAAGGGTGATATGATAGCACTTTTAAATACTTGACTGTCATACAGAGGAAGGGTAGGATCTGTTCTCAATCATCCCAGAGTGCAGGACACGCAACAATGGGCTCAAGTTAAAGGAAGCCAGATATAGCTTGAATATCAGGAAAAACTTCCTGTTAGAGCAGTATGACAGTGGAACCAGTTACCTCAGGAGTTGGTGAGTGCTCCCAACACTGGAGGCATTAAAGAAAAACTTAGATAATCACCTTGCAGATATGCTTTGATTGTATTCCTGCATTGAGCAGGGGGTAAGACTTGATGGCCTTGTAGGCCCCTTCCAACTTCACTTTTCTATTCTATTATAAGTATTACTGTTTTTATTATCATTAGTAGTAGTAGTAGTAGTAGTAGTAGTAGTAGTAGTAGTAGTAGTAGTGTGGGGTGGGGTGGTTTCAATGCAAATTGTGTAGCAAACTCTCAATTGATGGTACCCACAAGCTTTTAAACAATGATTCATTTTAAGCACCAGTTAAACACCTCTGATGGCATGAAAGGTGTCGTTGGTCAAATTTATCTGAACTGAAACAGTTCATCTAGCAACATTCTATCTAGGCCTCCCAAGCAAAACAGGCTTAGAAAAAAATCTGGAAAACTTTAAAAAAACTTTCTCTAAAATGGGGATGGGGAATGTACCTTCCTCCTACTCTTGATATGCTGGCTACAGCTGGTGAGGACTGCAATCCAGTAATGTCTAGAAGGCAATATCATCCCCATTTCTGTTCTGGAATGTTTTTTTGACGCCTTGCATTCAGTAGAATGCACTGCAATGTTATCATGAAACTTCAAGAATGGGAACTAGGGAACACTCTAATCTGGTGATGGGTGCTTCTCATTTTGCAAAATTACCATTGGAAAATATTCCTTCGAGTAATGCACACACACACACACACACACACACACACACACACACACACACACACAGACACACAGAGTGAGTTTATACATTTAAAAAAATACCAAAAGTCACTGCCATTCTCTTAATATATTCATTTGCATTGCTTCCATTGCAGATCTGAACTAGCAGATACTATACTGTCAGTTCACCCTTCCGATGTTTTGGACATGCCAGTGGATCCCAATGAACCCACATATTGCTTGTGCCACCAAGTATCCTACGGAGAAATGATTGGCTGTGACAATCCTGATGTAAGTACTGAGATAAGGTGAAGTGAGCTGAAAATTACTCTTGCCTCCTGCTTTTTTGAGAAAGAAGGCTCTCTCTCCACTAGACCATACAGATGCCATTAATTTTAGTTGCAGATCATTGGCGCGTCAGGTGATATTTAAAGCAGAAGTATAGAATGAGAAAGGCAGATACCCTTTTTTTTTACTTTGCTCCACCTCTGGCTTTATTGCAGAACCTTCTTTGTCTCTCCCACTGCAAAATGCCTCAGGTGCCTGTTTGTGCCCTTATTTGGCTCCTCAAGCCTCCAGGTGCCGCACAGAAAATTGCCCTGGGGCCTAGTTCTCTGTCTTGCCAGGGCCATGTATATACAGTATTTTTGCTGTGTAGCAGATATTAAGGTGCAAGTGTACAACTGCAGTCAAGGTCTAGCACTGGGAATCCCAAATCTGAAGTCCATTCTGGGTTAGTGTCTAGATCAGGCTGTACATTTTACAAAGAAGATTGCAATATTTCTGTTTTCCATATTATCTGATTTATTTTGCAAAATTTCTATTTGGAAAAGTGGAAGAGTGAGCAGTGCAGTACTTGTTAAGGACACAGCAGATAAGAAGAGAAACTGTCAAGCTCTCTGACAAAAAAAATTACTGTGCTTTTTTTTTCAATATGTAGTGTCCAATTAAATGGTTCCATTTTGCTTGTGTGGACCTTACAACCAAACCCAAAGGAAAATGGTAGGTGCCATGAATAATTCTCCTCTTTTATTTTCTTCATATATTTCTTTTTGTCTGTGTTGAATATTAAATTCCACTGAGATACGTTTTGATTTCATTTCCTTATTAAAATGCAGGCTTTTAAGCTTTGGTTTACAAAACTAAGGTTACCCGGCTGACCAGGCATAGAAGGTAGTAAACCTCACTGAACTCAGCAGCATTAACAATTACTGAATATCTTTAAAAGGCTAGAATTGCAAATAAAGACTTAACCATAAAAGGACTTGCTTTTGTATTGATTTTTTCAATACTTTATCACATACATAATGTAAGGTGGTTTTGCTTAGTTGAGTGCTCTCCTTTGGTGACTTTCTTCTCCTTCTTCTTTTCAGTATCATTTATTTTGAGTCTCATTTTCTCTTAGGGATAGAGTTTTGTGCAGTGTCTCTTTCTGAAGTTCATTTTTACAGTCTGTGCCTGCCATATAAAAGCTTCCACTTACGGGGTTCCATTAGTATGAGTGCATGCAGGCACTCCCCCAACAAAAGTACTTGTATCTCCAATCTTGTCTGTTTACAGAATGTCTGTCTTACATGTTTCTGTAGGATTTGTTTTAAATATATATATTGAGTATGATAGTGTTAAAGGACATTCCACCAATAGGTACATCTGTCTTTAAAATCCTTGTTGGGAGACTATGAGTTGTAGCTGAAAACAGTAATGCTTCTGAGCTGTAATGAAAATAAAGAGCAAGGGACGAATATAGTGTGAGGAAGATGGCCCACAATGAATTTTATGACAGCCTACCAAATTTACTCATGAGGTTGAGGGAGCTACTGTTTAGAATACTCTGTTTTGCAAACAATGGACAAAGTCCAACCAGATTAACATTGTTATATTGTCTTATTTATTACTTATTCAACATATCCAATAAGATCGGTGGGACTTACATTTGTTTAATTTGGACTGCATTATCTCCATTTATTTTAAAACAGGTAGAATTAATTTTGATGATCTACTGATCATTTTGGTGTATTTTATTTATTATAGTGCCTACATGTAGGCACTTTAGTTACAAAGGGCCATTACTGAAGACTCATGATGTGAGAATGAAATGCAAAGTGTGCAAACTTCACATTGTATGTATGTATGTATGTATGTATGTATGTATGTATGTATGTATGTATGTATGTATGTATGTATGTATGTATGTATGTATGTATGTATGTAAAACATTTGTACCCCGCCTTTCTCCTTAAGAGGGAACCAAGGTGGCTCATGTCATTCAAAGATAATATTCAAAGCAAAAAACAGTAAGTATGTACTAAAAAGGATCAAACAAATACTAGAGTAAAAGATGGTAAACTTCAAAACCCATTCAGTGCAGTAATGCATAAGAATCCATTTAAGAACCCAATTTGGACAGCCACTAAGTAAGGGAAAGCTTGCTTGAAGAGAAAGGTCTTTGCCTGCTTGCAGGAGGATAGCAAAGGTAGAGCCAGCCTTGTCTCGTATGGGAGGGAGTTCTCTAGGTTTGTACTGGTGTGCGTGATGGCAACTGAAGAACCTTAAACAGCTTGTAATATTGAACGTGTGTATGTGTTAAAGTAAACTTATTTTTGGTTTTCAAACATTGGTAGTTATTTTTTCAAAATAGCAGTTACAAGGTATTATGTGCATATATACTGCTGGCCAACACCAGGACGTGTAGTTAAGGTGGTATAGGCTGTGTGTGTTTCACCAAAAGTGTTTTCATAAAGAGACAGGATTAATTTAGCCTTTAGCTATGCCAGTGTTTTTAAGCAGTTATGGGAAAGGAGCACTTGCTGTTTGCCTGGCTTGGTAAAAGGGATATTCCAGGGGAAGGAATCCCTGTTACAGATTAAGTAGGAAGACCAAACTTTGTAAAGTCATTTGGCGGTTGTCCATTTGGTGGTGGCATATACCAAGTTGAGGAAGATGTGAGGAGAATGCTGCACAAGGAATAGAGAACTCGGTGTGTAATTATCATGTCAAGTACAGTTTAGCCTTTTTCCAAATGACAAATGCACCTCAAATACTGAACTGAACTAAAATTGTGCTTTTCCATGTTTAGGTTTTGTCCTCGCTGTGTTCAGGAGAAGAAGAAGAAGTAGAAATCATGGAAACACATAATCCAAAAGAAATTTTTTTAATATATTCATACATGTTGGGGGTTTTTTGTCACTGATCTATTTGTTTGGTATTTAATAGTGGCCAGTTGTAGTTCCCCATCATCACAGAGGGAGACAGCCTAATGAGACAAGATGGAAGTGGAAGAAATCCACTAGTAATATTTACCCAGGTTTCATTTTGAAGGCACTGTAATCAATGTTATGAAGTACTAAGAGTAGCCCTGCACTGGAATTTCTGCTGATATATTGAAGTCTGTGAAATTGCCTATGGCCTTGCATGTGAAGAAGATGGTGTCCTTTGTAGTTACTGAAAGTGTAGTTACTCTGCTCCATATAACATTTATGAAGGATTTAAAGTCTAGCTGCACCTTTCTAAAACTCTAATTCTAAAATGGAGAGGGCTCTATTTCTAAATGCAGTTCTGCTCCTTTGGAGGCAAGTTGCAAAGCTGTGAAGAGTTTCTTATGAGTGCAGGAGAAAAGTAATGCATGTTACTTTGGTAAGATGCCTTTCATAAGTAAAGCTGAGAGTTATACACCTTTAATCATTGTTTCTGATTTGTCTGATACTGCCTTTGGACTTTATTCTGGTCTTGCTGAAATCATACATACATTCATGGTGGTAAGAACCGTGGATTATTGAAACAGAAGATGCCCAGAAGATGGGTATGAAATCAGGATACAGTAGTCTGATTCATTCATGGAAAAAATCAGATTTAATTTTTACCAGTCATTGTTGAACATTAATAAATAAATAAACAACTTTAAGAGCATTACAGTTTAAGGAAAAGATAGATTCCTGTGACTATAAAAGCTGAAGTGACCTGTATAATTTGGGGCAGTTGTACACAAAAGCTTGTCTGGTGTGAAATGTCCATGCTGTGATTACACTAACTTGTCTTTGTTTATCAAGTGAAAATATTAGCATCTATTCTATTATATTAGACTGGAGATAGTTTTTTTTTCTCCACAAAGTTGAAAGTTGCATGATGCAGCCACCATTGCCTTTGATATATATGTTCAAACCACTATCCCTTCTAATAATATAGAGGTGGCAAGTTGTTGTAATGCTCCAGAGAGATGCAAATTTGGTTTTACCAGAGATCGTAGCAGGTCAAAATACATATTTTGTCCACCATATAATTTCTAACTCTGAAACATTATTTTCTGTCTCCAACCATATATTTCTCATCCAAAGTCTTTTAAAAAGGTGGCAGTTCAAAAGGATGAATGGATAACGGCCAGTTGTTTCATTTATCTGTACTTTTATTGAGACATAAAGATGGTTGCTTATACAGTAGGACCCCCATATCTGCTGGGGATTGGTTCCCAGCCTCCCACAGATACTGAAAGCTGTGGATAATGGTGAATGTGAAAGAGAGGGGGGGCATGGTAAAAAGAGAAAAAAACATTTTTTTTCACATGCATTGCCAGCACTGGCCACTAGAAGGCACCAGACACTGTGCTATGTATTACTCACTAACTATTCATAACATGGTGTTTGGCTCCCTCTAGAAGTCATTTCTATTAGTACATGTGAAAATAGGATTTTCTGGATTTTTTCTTTGAATATTTTTAATATTTTCTGACTGTGGTTAAGTGACTCAGTGGATACTGACCCTGTGGATAAGGGGATCCTATTGTATATGATGATTTTAAAAGAGCCAAAATACAGCACACAGAGCTTTGCTAGATATTGCAGGAATGTGGAGTTTATTAAGATTGTCCCTATAGCGTGAGTAATGTTTTATGTATCCTGCAAATAAGTAGCACTGCAGAATGCCTGCAGTATCACTATGAATTTCACTTTCATTCTGGGGGTAAAAAGGGACTTAACACAAGACAAAAAATTGCAGTCATCAATTTTAGCTTCATGTTAAGAAGAAAACAGTGTTATTAAAATAACTTTTTTCATTATGAAATAATGCTAAGTTCTAGCTTCTTATTTTATGTCAAGCTTTTGCATATGACTTTGCAGGCTGTGGGAGAGGACCTTTGGCTTTTTACATATTTTGAGTCAACTCTCAGAAGCCCCAGCCAATGGTAAGCAATTATGGGAATTGTAGTCCAAAATTATGTGGAAAGCCAAAGGTTCATCATCTGTTGTAGGTATCAATTCAGTTCAATTACAGTGTTCTTTTCATCCTTTCAGGTTTTCTGTATTTATTTTTACATGTTCATGCATACTCTTGTCTTGTGTAGAGTATCTTGCTGTGTTATGTAGTTATAGAAGGATGGTTACATAAGTGATCTTACTCTAGCAGACTCCCCTTTTCATGCCCTGTTTCACAATTAACTGCGTAATAAGGTACACAATGGAGGAGGGGCCTTGCAGGAGGGGAACATGATCATCACTCTTATGCTTCAGATAGGATACAGGTCCATGTGTACAGATATGGAACAATGCAAAGGGGGAGCATTAGGGCCACAAGTCATGGTGAATCACACCAAAAGGAGCATTTTCATATAAAATTGATTGCCTTTGAATGTAAAGCAAGCCTACAGAAATTCTGAATCACCAGACTGAATGCAGTCTAAGTTATACAGACTTCCTGATCTGGCAGATATTGAATAATCTCCTTGTTTGTTTTTTGTTGCAATCCTAATCAAAAAGAAAAGTTAAAAAGAGGTTGTTCACTGATCACCTGATGACTTTTTGAACAGATATGCATAGCTCACATGTGGCTTGGCTTGACGGCTTAGTTTTTACAACTTGCACTGAAGTTTTAGTAGTAGGTTTACGTTTCTGTAGAAAGGTATATCTTTTGAGAATTCAAGAATCAGTGCTTCAGTAATTAATTAGTGATGTTTGTGACTTTTAGTTTTAATCTACCACTTTGGATTTTAAAGTGGCATTAGTTCCTAAAATAATAGGAATGTCTTAACAAAATGCTTCCTTTTCTTTCCATTTACATTGTTTTAAATAACAGAGGAATGCTACTATAGATTAATATAAATCTTGAGACATGTCATGGGGCAGGTAATGCTGCTATAGCAAATGCTGTTGAGCAAAGTAGACTGGTACTTTGCCATAACTAGAACTTAGTTCATGCACCAGTTCCAAAGAATTAAGACACTTCTTTGGAAGATTCTGGAACAGTAGTGAAGATATATAAAAGACGTGTTTCATGACTTATTTAATAGAATACAGTCCTGGACTGAGTAATAAGGACATCCCATATAAAAATCTCTGATGGAAAGAGAGGGTGAAAACTGATTGTCAGTTGTTTATTTTGGTCAGAATTTTTAAAGTTCATATAGATTAACAATATCTTGATTCTGATCTGTGGAGAATGTATTGTCTTGAATTTGGAATGTATCCTGTTTCATCCTTGTTCCTTTCAATTGTCACAATTTAAGTGCAGGGAAAAGTGAAGATAATTATTTCTTTTTTAAAAAGATAACACCTATTTTTGGCAGTCATCTTTTCCTCCATAGTTCTTATAAGTAAACAAATGTCACATCTTAAACATTCTTGTCAAGGAATTGTATTTGTTTCCTTTGTAAACGGAAGATAATATTGGAAATCTTTTTATTAAAATGTGAAAATGTCTATCTGTATTTTTGATCATGTTATAATAGAAATATTGTTATAAATAAAGTATTTTGGAACAAATGTTTGAATTGCATGAATTATTTTTTAAATAGAACATAGAGAAGATGAAGTTCAAATGCTGGTAACAAGAAGTATATATGTATTATAGTATATAATTTTGTCTTAGAGAAGCCATTCAGTGTTAGTTCAACTGTTGACTGGTATCTGAAAATGCTGAAAAGGAAATATAGCATAGTGGAAGTCCAATGTTTTCCAGTTAACAGAAGTTATCATCAGGCTGGAAGTTAAACAAAATAGTGGGTAGGAGGGGGATTTGCCTAGAAATTTTCAAGGAGATAGCCATGTTAGTTTGTTTTAGCACATATAAAATAACTGATTTTAAACATATTTGCCTGTTATATGATGTACTATTTTAGCAGCATAATTCCTTTAAAAATAACGGACATAATTGTGGGTTCAAAATCAGATGAGCTTATTTTTATTTAAAATATTTTATACTGAATAAAGAAATACAAACCTCTTTTAATGTGAAGTATACAAATAATAAAATATGCTGCCTTCATTTGAGTCCACAATAGAGCTTCCTTGGCTTTCCATGGAATTACATTGTTGTTCTGTGCTCTCAAGTCTGAACTGAGTTCTTCTGACCCTAACAAGGGCTTTCAGGATAAGCGAAATATTTAAGGACTGGCTTCCCCAGTTCCAGTAGACTGGATAGCTCCACCCACCCACCCACTTTCATTTATTTATTTATTTAATTAAACGTGTATCCTGTCCATCGAGAATGTGTCTACTCTGGGCAGCTCACAACAAAATAGAATAAAAAATTAAAAATGTCAACAACAATTTCACAGTAATAAACATATCGTTCAAGATGGGAGATAAGAGATAAATCAGGTGGTACCCAGAGGGAAGGCCTGCCTAAATAGCCAGGTTTTGAGTTGGCTTTTGAAAACACCCAGCGAAGGGGCCAAGCAGATCTCCGAAGGGGGATTATTCCACAAATTGGGGGGGGGGCTTTATATGTAATCATTAACAGCAACCAGTTACGCCAAACCAGCAAAATTTGGTGCACAACCACAATCCAGTTAAGAGTGATTGTACTGTCAAGAGTGAGGCGCTCATCTCAAACAGCAAATTTGGGAAATTGGGAAAGATATACAAACCAGTTATTAAGGTAATAAAAGTTTCAAAACATCAACTGCTGGGACAGCCAGGATGGCATAGTGGTTAGTGTTGAACGAAGACGTGAGAGAGCAGGTTCAAACCCCGACTGGGCGAGTTGGCGCCGGTTGCGCCCCCTCAGCCGGACTCGACTCCGCACCTCTTGGCCTCTCAGGAGAAATTCGGGATATAAATCTATTATATATGGTCTGGATACTGGATTGGAAGCCACTGTATCGTATTCTGGCAGTGAGACCCACCCTGTGGAGTGAGGAGGGTGGGGAAATTGAACCCAGGTCCCTTTCCTCCTCCGTGGGTAGGAGCCGGGTGTGGTGGTTCGGCTTGGTCTTTCAGGCTCGCCCTCCTAAACAAAACAAGAGTACCCGCTCTGACCGGGCCCTCGGTACCCACAGGCCACCGGCTGGACGGCAGCCAGCGGCTAATGCCGAAACCCGACAGCGTGAAAGGGGGGGGGCACGCCAAGCAGCGAGGCTGAGCGACAGGCCGGCTGGCAACTCCCAGGCCTCCAACAGAAGGCGGGCGCTGCGTCATTGGATGCGCCGGCCGTGCGGGTGGGTCTCCGCCGGCGCCAGCGGGCGCGCTGCTGCCCCGCCTCCCTGGGAGCGGTTGGGTCGGGCAAAGACTAGGAGGAGCGGGCGGTCGAGGGCCCGGCTGGAGCTGCTGGGCACCAAAGAAGGGACGGGAGCCTCCGCGGCGCCCTCAGACGTGAGTACGCCAAGGGCCTGGGCCAGGGTGCGCCCAAGAGTTTCCGCTTTGGGAGCGTGCTTGGCCACTCACTGTTCCAGTTCTCCAAGCTTTCGTGGTGCACGCCAGGAGCATTAGCCTGACCTAACAGGTATGCAGGTTTGACGGGTGAAGGGTTGTAAACAGGTTAGAGGGAAACCAAGAACAGGCCGTGTAAGTAATCACGTTGTTAGCAGGGACCTTTCCTAAAACCGCGGTTGCTAATAGCTATTAACTCACGAAGTGCGGTTTTGTTTTGTTTTTTAAGAGGAACCTTTATTCATGTTTGAACTGAACCTCATGATGAACTTTATCGCAAAGTCCTCATATTCTAATCTGCTTTTGATCAAACATGTCACAGGGGTGCTCCTTCACTGTTCTTTTTAATGTCAGTTTCTTCTGAGTTTAATCTTTTTCATAGACAGGGACCTGTTTGCCCTAGGTAGAATCCAGAAGAACATTGGTGATATAACAATGATCACATTGGAAGATGAATAGATCAAGCGGCCCGATATTGTGGGTGACGGTTACTGGGTGCTATCACAGTATTGGCAGAGGAGAGGGGAGGGCAAACTATCTGATGTTGTTGCAGATACCAGTTCTTGAGTCGCACTCTTGCTATGTGGTCTGTTGTTGCCCTTTCTCCAGTCTTGTTAAATACTCTGACGGAGTGCTGTGTTCCAACACAACCACAAATCTAGATGAGAGCAGACCAGTTTTTTTTTCAAAGGCGTTCAAGGACACAAAAGAGTCATGTTGAACATGATCAGAGTGATCTATGCATTGCTTGGGAAAGGTAGACTTATCTTGTTTTCTGCAAGATGTTAAAAACCGTCCGGTTACACACACAGTTAGCCATAGAGGAGTAACTCTTTTGCATATACCGTATATCTCATCCTGGCAAATAGAAGGGGAAGACATGGAGGCAGTGACAGATTTTACTTTCTTGGGCCCCATGATCACTGCAGATGGTGACAGCAGCCACGAAATTAAAAGGCGCCTGCTTCTTGGGAGGAAAGCAATGACAAACCTTGACAGCATCTTAAAAAGCAGAGACATCACCTTGCCGACAAAGGTCCGCATAGTCAAAGCTATGTTTTTTCCAGTATTGAGGTAAGGAAGTGAGGGCTGGACCATAAAGAAGGCTGACGGCCAAAGAATTGATGCTTTTGAATTGTGGTGCTTGAAGAGACTTGATTGTCACCTGGACTCTAAGGAGAAAAAACTTATCCATTCTAAAGGAAATCAACCCTGAGTGCTCACTGGAAGGACAGATCCTGAAGCTAAGGCTCCAATACTTCTCCTGAGAAGAGAAGACTCCCTGGAAAGGACCCTGATGTTGGGAAAGTGTGAAGGCAAGAGGAGAAGGGGACGACAGACGAGATGGCTGGACAGTGTCGTCGAAGCTACCAACATGAATTTAACCCAACCCTGGGAGGCAGTGTAAGACATGAAGGACTGGTGTGCTTTGGTCCATGGGGTCAATAAGAGTCGGACATGACTTAACAACTAAACAACAATCTCATCCTGTCAATAAAAACCAAACCCTCACACACAGTCCACAAAACTAGGCCCAAAAAGGCAAGTAATACTTTTGCATTTGTATCTCATCCTTCTGTTTCCACTACTGTATTCCTTTGCCTTATCTCCTGGTTGCATGTTTTTCTTGGGTGTAAAGGTAAAGGTTCCCCTTGACAAATTGTCCAGTTGTGTCCGACTCTAGGGGCCAGTGATCATGTTTCCAGGCCATAGAGCCAGCATTTGTCCGTAGGCAGTTTCCGTGGTCACGTGGCCAGTGCGACTAGAGATGGAACACCGTGGTGGTACCTATTTATCTACTCGCATTTTTACATGCTTTTGAACTGCGAGGTTGGCAGGAGCTGGAACAAGCGACGGGAGCTTAGTCCGTCATGTGGATTTGATCTTACGACTGCTGGTCTTCTGACCTTGCATCATAGAGGCGTCTGCGGTTTAACCCATAGAACCACCACGTCCCTTCTTAGGTGTATACATCTCACTAGATATCACTGGTGTAGTGGTTAGAGTAATGAACCTGAACTCTGGAGACCAGGGCTTGAATTCTGGTTTGACCATGAAAACACTGAGAGAGTGGAACTGGTATAAACATCTCACATACCTTGAAAGTCATATTAAGGTTGCTTCCAAGTTGACAACACGTAACAACAAGTTGGTTCTGACTTGAAAGCACATAATTAACTAACCAAACTTTTCACTGGCTTGTTGTGAGGATAAAAATGGGGAGAAAAACTATGTATATCACCTTCACCTTCTTGGAGGAAAGTTGGGAGAAATATAAATGTAACAGAATAAATACATAATATTGATTGATTGATTGATTGATTGATATGCCACCCATCTAGACATTGTCTACTCTGGGCAGCTCACAACAGACAAGAGAAAAACAATATATAATAACAGTTACAGCATTATACAATAATATTAAATACGTCTCTATACATTTTGCTTTTTTAGATAAGTCACCTCAGTTAAAAATTTTTTACATACTTCGTTGTGTGACCCTGAAGTCATCCTACCTCTGTGATATCACAGTTCCTTAAGTATTCTTTTTAATGGTTATCTGTCTGTTTGAGTGGTGATGATGATGATGATGAAAACAAACATCTGACACTGAGTCCCTTTTGGAGGGAAAGAAAATAACAGGTTTTATTTTTTTGCACTTCAGGTTAATCATGTCTCTTTCCAGCATTGTGAGACACTGCTATTTTAGACACCACTTGACCTTCCCTGAGTTGCAAACCAGATGCCAAAGAAGAATTTCAAGTGTATGGAGCACATCTGCTACCCAGTCCGAAAGTATGAAAAAAATAACAACACCAAAGAGAGACATACTTATGCCATCCGTCCAATGGTTCATCAGTTACTTGGTCGGGAGACATCTACATGCTACCCAGCTTCACCTCCAGGAAGTGATGCTCACTAGTGAGCGATATGATGTACAGAGGCTGCCTTTTGCCACTGTTTCTGATGCTGACTTGTCTTTCTTTGAACATCTTATGCCTGATAGAGTTGTCACTGCTTCAGATGAACTGAAGTCCTTCAATGTGGACTGGCTGAAGTCAATGAGAGGTGGGTTGTTTTAACAATGTGATTTGAATAGTACATACTGTAATAGTTATCCTTATTAAAGGATAGCTTGGTAAACTACATAGTTGCAGGCCTCCTTTTCAAAACTGCAATTTCACTTTTAAATCTGCAATGAACATCATTATTGTACGTATGTATACTAATTTAGCCTTCTTAGTGCTAGATAATCAGAAATTTTCCATGGCTGCTTTCAGAGGAAATGGAAGTGCTGGTCACCTAAAGAACGAACTTCAAGCAGATATTTTCAAATCTTGTTTACATTATAGGCTGCAGTAAAGTGTTGCTGAAGCCACGGACAACAGGAGAAGTATCCGAGATCCTCAGGTAATTTTAGTTACATATAAAGGTAAAGGTAAAGTTTCCCCTTGACATTTAGTCCAGTCATGTCTGACTCTAGGGCACAGTGCTTAACCCTGTCTCCAAGCCGTAGAGCCAGCGTTTGTCTGTAGACAGTTTCCGTGGTCACGTGACCAGCGCAGTGAGACACAGAACGCCATTACCTTCCTACCGGAGTGGTACCTGTTTATCTACTCGCATTTTAACATGCTTTCGAACTGCTAGGTTGGCAGGAGCTGGAACAAGCGACGGGAGCTCACTCCGTTGCGTGGACTCAATCTTACGACTGCTGGTCTTCTGACCTTGCAGCACAGAGACTTCTGCAGTTTAACCTGCAGTGCCACCACATCCCTTTAATTACATATACATGAATATAAACAGTGTTGGAGACATCTGTGTTTGTGAGAATATGCCTTCTGTACTTCCATTCATTTTAAAAGTAGATGATGAAGTTAGGTAATATTTTTTCCACTGTGTGCAGGGAGAATTTTGGAGGGGGAAGAACATGCCTGCTCCTGTCACATTTATACAAGACAGAGATGCAGAAAGTTATTTTGGTCTAGGGGCCAGATTTCTATTTGGAAAAGTCTTGAGGTACAAGCTCAGTATTTGACATGTCTGTGCAGAGGTAAGCTTTGTGCAGCAGCATTCCTGCCTTGCAAAGCATAGCTTGGTTCCATGAAATAGCCTTCCTACCTCCAAAGCTTAGCTCAGTTCTGCATAGCAGCTTTAAGTTTACAAAACTGAGCTTAGTTCTATAAAAAGTATTTAAAGTTTAAAGCCATATTTTCACCAATTGCTTATTGGAGAAGTTTTTGTTTAATTCCTTTTTAGTTAGCAGGACATAAAGTACTATACAAAAAGACAACTGCAGCACAGGGGAAACATGAAGGAGAATAGCTAAATGTCCCAGCTTTCATTCAGCACCTTGTGTTCTCACAGTGACTAGCCCCTTGTATATTAAAAAAATAACTCTACAAGTAGCTTAAGAAGGAAAAGAAAAACATATTTACTTATAATAGTGGAATCTCAGTTCCAATCGGAAGGGGAAGGGGGTTAAAAAAAGGAAGAATGGACTTTATTCCATGTGGAAAGTTCCTCCATATTCATAGCATGGTCCAGAGGTTAGGGAGAAGAGAGTTACAAGTTTGCTCTAAAGACAGAGAAGGAGAACACAAACAAAACAACAGAAGCAAACAAACGGGGAGAGGGGGCAGGGGCTTGCCTCTGTCCTGGGAAAAGGACTTTGCTAATTGGTTAGAAGCAAGGCATGATTATGTTAGGCTGTGAAGTTCCCTTCTCACTGAAATCCAGTGTTAGGTTGTATGCAAGATTGTTATTTTCTGTCGAGAGGCAACAGATGAAAAGTTTTATGGTGACCAAAGGTTCCCCATCTGTAAAATAAAGCCAGTGTCAGTGCTTTTTTAATGACAAATCCATATCCTGTCTTGTTTCTCACTGTGAATTGCAGCTGAAGAATGATATTAAGAATTTAGAGTGCGTGGGTTATACAGAAAGCTGTCTGTGGAAATGGAGCCTTTGGTTCTTCATTCTGCAGAAAGCTGGTGTTAGGTGATTGATTTCAAACAAAAGACATTGCAGTTACTTTTTCACCATCACTGCCAATGTGGGAATCATCATAACTGCAACCACTAGTATCATTCATGGACCAGGCTGAAGCTGAAAAAATTATTCTGAACTACTTAGAATAGGGATTCGCAACCTGTGACCCCTGGACCACAAGCAGCCCTCAGGTGCATTTTTAAATGCCTCTGGCACCCTAGAAATGTTCAGAAAGCCCTGTTGTGCCCTCCAGGGGGCAATGGCAGAAATGATGTCTTATTTGGAGGGCTCTCAGTGCATCTGGGATCCCCATGCCTCCCTCCCCCCCTTTTTTTATTTTTTAAAAATCACTCAACTGGAGGGCACAAGGGCCCTTTTTAATTAAAGCCGGGTGTTTTGTTGTTGGTTAAAACCCGTGCTTCAGCAAACAAATCTTTATAGCAAACTTTTCAATTAAGAAAAAAGTAAGGTAGGCTCTTTGTCCATGTTGCTCTCCCTTTGGACCCTCCTTCTTGGGAACAAAGTCCTTGGGCTGCAGACAGATCTGAAAACTGTCCCAGAACTTCACTGCAACTGCCACTTGATCTAGAGTTTAGGACAGGCTTTAGGTCTTAAAATGTTTTTAGTTTTGCAAGTACAGCATTTCAAAGGCATGTGATAACCCCTTAGCAACCAGACCCCCATGGGCAAAATGTGTTCCCTTTCAGGTACTGCAGTGAGAGGAACTTGGCTGTGAACCCTCAGGGGGGTAACACTGGCCTCGTTGGGGGTAGTGTCCCTGTCTTTGATGAGATCATTCTCTCCACAGCTCTAATGAACCAGGTCATCAGCTTCGACAGTATTTCTGGTAAATATGTTTTCCTAAGGGGGAAAAATGGCTCATCTAAAAACTTTCCAGCTTGTGTCTTATAAAGAGGACAAAGTAGAAGGTTCTTCAATTTAGAAGGCTTGGCAGTATTGGGTTTTTACTCCTTTTAGTGATGGGAAATAAGATTAAAGTTTTGTGGGGTTGTGGGGAAAAGAGGAGGGTGTTGTCTGTTTTGAAGCATTGATGGGACATATCCTACTAGCTGTGAACAACACAGAAATATCATTAGCACTACAAAAAAGAATAGAACATTTTTAATGCAGGGTATGTTGCTGACAGTAAAGAAAAGAATTGAAAATGAGAATTAGGAAGGACTAGGAAACAAGAAGACCTCTTTGGTCTTGATGCTGTTTCAAATGAGATCATAGAATGAAAGACTTGTACTGTAAAGGGAATCCCGGAGGTCATGGAGACCCCTGCCAATCCAAGAAATCTATAGCTAAAGTATCCCTGATCCATGACCATCCAAACTCTGTTTAAAAACCTTCAGTCCACCTTCTTTGTAAGTATTGCATTCCACTGTCAAGCAGCTCTTATTGTCAAGAAGCTCTTCCTAATGTTTAGTTGAAATCTCCTTTCCTGCTGTTTAAATCCATTAATTCAGGTCTGGAGCTTCAGAAAACAAGCATGGTGAACAGCAAACCTTTCTATGTAGTTGTTTGATTGATCTGATTGTCTTCTGGGACAAATGAAGGACAGAGCCACAGTTCCTTAAGCAGATTTCTTATGCATACAGTATTTATAATTCTGCCTTCCCTCTATAGAGCTAAAAGAAGCAAGCATTATTCTCTTCACCATGTCCATTTTATCTTAAGTAGGTTAGGCTAAAAGACATCGGCCAGAAGCCAACTGAAAAATTATGGTGTAACTCCATTGGTGGAGATTTCAGTTGCAAATTGTCATAAGTTAAGAAGTCAGCATAGGCCCCTGCTGTTTTCCCCACCAAGTCATGTGACTGATGTCAGTATAGGTATTTAAATAAATAAATAAATAAACAAGTAAGTAAATAAATAAGTAAATAAGTAAATAAATACCTATACTGACATCTTCACTTGTTATAACAGCGGATCTAACTAAGAGGATTGTGGACAGTGACTGACCAAGGTTACCTGATGAGCTTCATCACTGAAATTATCCAAAATAAGTTGTTCATTTCTCAACTGCAACTTGATACTTATATTTCAGGCATCTTGGTTTGTCAGGCTGGCTGCATTTTAGAAAACCTCAACCAGTATCTGGAGGAGCTGGATTTCATCATGCCTCTTGACCTCGGAGCCAAGGGGAGTTGCCATATTGGAGGAAATGTTGCCACAAATGCTGGTGGTTTGCGGCTCCTGAGGTATGGCTCCCTCCGAGGGACGGTCCTGGGACTAGAAGTGGTAAGGAGGAACTCTGGATGGTGCTTCCTATGCTTATATCATCTTCGTGACCTTTATCAAAGATGCAACCTTTATTGCAGCCTACTGTGTTTAATGTCAAAGAAATATATCAAGGATGTCTGTAAACTTGTTCTTTTTCAGGTGCTGGCTGATGGCACCATTCTGAATTGTCTGACTTCTCTGAGGAAAGACAATACCGGTTATGACTTGAAGCAGTTGTTCATTGGATCGGAGGGGACATTGGGGATCATCACTGCCGTGTCTGTCCTCTGTCCACGGAAACCCAAGAGTGTGAATCTAGCATTTTTTGGTAAGACCTATCATTGATGTAAAGGCACATCAAGACTGCACTGGAATGCAGCTATTCTGGAAACAAAACTCTTCTTTTAACTCAATTTGATGATTGATTGATTTGTTATTAAATGATTTGTTATTAAATGTAACAAATCAATCAATATTAATCTTGCCTTCCCTCCAGTAAGCCCATATTGGTATACGTGGCTTTCCTCCCTCCCAACTTTATCTTTACAACCACTTTGTGAACGAAATGTGGCTGAATGAATGGGAATAGGCCAAAATCACCCTGTGAATTTCATGGCTGAATCCAGGTCCTTGGATCTTAGTCCAGCACACTAAACTTGGCTCATTATACTTAATTGTAGTCTAAAATTAATACTGTATTTACTTAAGTATATTATTTATACTCGTACTTAGTTGTACTAACTTATTGGCTTTTGCTGAAATACTGTCACAGAGCTACACCACATAAGGCTGGTGACATCATCACCCACAGCAATTTTTTAGAAATAAAAATGTCCAATTCTCTATCTCTCCAAATGTCCCGAGGCTTTCATGGAATTCCCTTCATTGTGAGGAAGTCAGGGGACGCCATAACGCAGGGAGGATGTCTTTAATTTCCAAAAATCTCAACAGCCACCACAATGGCTTGATTGATGATACTGATTTTTGGAGTCTTGTGGTCCTCAACACCTTCTCTATGATGAACGGGATCTCCATGGAAGCTTCAGGAGATGGAATAGGATTTTTTTTCTGAAAAATTGCCACAGCTGATGATGACGTCAGCCTTATGTAGCGTAGCTCTGGAAATAGAGTCTGAGACTCTTATCATTTAATGTAATGATAGGCCCTATTAAGAGGGTAAGAACAGAGAAAGGGGTGCTCCCAACTAGCAAATTCATTTTTCACTAACTCATTTAAAACTATATAGATAATCCTTGTCTGTTAATTAAAATAATAAAGTGTTCAAATAGTAAATAATCTAATCTCAATTATGGATATTGTTAAAGATACTGTCACTAGTAAATTATTAAACCCATGAGCTGTTCTGTTTCCTAGGCTCGCAGCTGACATAGCATTAATTCTCCTGCAGAAAGAATGTGTAGATATGTAAGCTAGGGGGAATAAAATATAATGTTCCCCATCCATTTGTTCCAGTACATAGAATGAAATGGTGCTTTGACGACCGTGTTTCCCTGAAAATAAGACTGGGTCTTATATTAATTTTTGCTCCAAAAAAAGCAGTAGGACTTATTTTCAGGGGATGTTTTATTTTTTTCATGTACAACAATCTACGTTTATTCAAATACAGTCATGTCATCTTTTGGTTGCTGTACAGTGGTAGTGGGCGGGGCTTCACTTAACTAGGGCTTATTTTTGGAGTAGGACTTATATTATGAGCATCGTGACAAATCATACTAGAGCTTATTTTCAGGTTAGGTCTTATTTTCAGGGAAACAGGTTACCACTGTGCATATGATGTCTTTTCTAGAAAATTAATTGGCTATGAATAGATGTGGCAGCTTTTTGATGGCCAGAAGGGCATTTCCATAAAAATCTGATGGTGTTTCTGGTGGTGGTAGCATGGCTATGTGGATTTCCACCTGCTGCCATGCTATTTACTTTGCCCAAATCCATTTAAACGTTCACATTCAGGAGTCTAAATATAAGTAAAGAACTCCAAAGTTTATTGAAAAGTTCTGCTTGTCAACATCAATATTTGTGTAACTCTTTTCAACTCAAAATACACAGAAGAAATTGTGTTAAATTGTGTTTTTTAAACATTTGTTTCTCCTATTTCTTTTAAAACATCTGTTTCTTTTATTAATTTCAAACACCATCTTCTCATTCCTTTTAATGTCTGTATCCTGAACCTCTTCCCACTGTGAAAGGATTTTTTAAATATGCTAAACAATATATCTTACAACATGGTTGTTTTGTACAATTACACTGAGACAACTCCTCTTTCCTGTCACGATAACAGCCTCTGAAGTTTTTTTGTTTGTGTCCCCTTCTCTTCGGTCTTTTGAGAGGGGATAACTAATTTTTCATGTTCCTTTTCAGCTTATTGTTTTAACCTATGTCATCTCCTTTCTTTTCTCTTTCTTTCTCCCCAATATGAAGATTTGGGTAGGGATTTATACAGTAACTGCATATTCTTTCTGCCTCTGGTTTAGGTAGCTTGAAAGCTACAGGCTGTCCTGTCCACAGATCTTCCTTAACTATATACTGTCACTCCTTTAACAGTTTTTCCTCAAGCATCCCTTCTATATAACTGACATCCCTCAACTGTCAAAACCTTCACCACATCCTTCCAAATCTCCTCCACTCCTCTCCCTCTGTTTCCTTATTTGGAACTCTGCTGTTGCCACTTCCATTCCCTTCCACAGGTGTCTCTACTCTTTTTTCCTGACTCCTCATCTTCTCCTTTTTAATCTAAGTATTCCTCCTACATTCTCATTGGTTTCTCCTGATCCAGTGTTGCAGCTGAGGCATAGAAGGAGTTTCTTTCTAGGGATAGGCACAACGGCCTGCCCATCAGAGTCCTACCATTGGATTCTTCCTCCTTGTCGTTGTTCTGTACCATCAAGTCATATCTGACTCATGGTAACCCTATGAATGAACATTCTCCAAAATGTCCTATTCTCAGTTGCATTGCTCAGGTCTTGCAAACTCAAGCCTGTGGATTCTTTTAGCGAGTCAGTCCATCTGATATTTAGTCTTCCTCTTTTTCTGCTGTATTCCACCTTTCCCAGCATTATTGTTTCTTCCAGAGAATCCTGTATTCTCATGATGTGCGCAAAGTAAGACAGCCTCAGTTTCAACATTTTTGCCTCCACATAGTTCAGGCTTGATTTGATCTAGGACCCATTTGCCTTTCTGAACAGTACAGGGTACCCACAAATCTCTCCTCCAGCACCACATTTCAAACTAATCATTTTTTTCCTTGTCAGCTTTCTTAACTGTCCAGGTTTTCACACCTCTACATGATGATTGCAAATACAAGTGTGGATGATCTTGGTCTTGATCTCCATTGACACATCCTTACTATTGATGTTCCTTTCTAGTTCCTTCATTGCTGCGCTTCTGAGTCCCAGTCTCCTGATTTCTTGGCTGCAGTCTCCATTAGGATTGATGATTGAACCAAGGTATACGAAATCTCTAACTACTTCAGTTTCTTCATTGTCAATATTAAAGTTACGTAGTTCTTCTGTAGTCATGATTTTTGTCGTCTTAACATTCAGCTGCAGTCCTGCTTTGACACCTTCACTTTCCCTAACAGTCATTTCAAATCACTGCGGCTTCCTGCTAGCAAGATGGTGGCATCTGCATATCTTAAATTATTGATATTTCTTCCGCCAATTTTCATTCCTCCTTCATCTGTATCCAATGTGGCTTTTCGTATGATATATTCTGTCTGAAGATTGAAAAAGATAAGGGAATAAAATGCACTCTTGTCTGATACCTTTGCCTATAGAAAACCTTTCTGTCTCTCCCTATTGTCCTAATGGTAGCTTCTTGTTCACAATACAAGTAACACATCAGGACAGTCAAGTGCCGAGGCACACTAATTTCTTTCATAACAGCTTGTAGTTTTTTATGATCTACACAGTCAAAGGTTTTGCTGTAGTCTGTAAAGCACAGATTGATCTTTTTCTGAAGTCCTTTAGTGCTCTTCCTCCTTGGTGGGAAATTCTGTTCTACTAAAAGAGCTATTAATGCCATACATTGAACACTGATGTCAAAATGTCTAACTGGCATTAGTGGAAAAATTCATACACAGAATTTGTTCAGTGTTGAAACTGGTTACATAAGGCACTTTATGTGTTACATTTTCTTGTTAGTTTTGATAATCTGAACGAGCAAGATAAGCATCACTTGTTCAGAGTCAGTCATTTTGAAAAGGTCATGCTGAAATATTTAAAAATGGCATTCCTTCAGTGCTTTCTTTAGTGGTAGAGCAGAGCAGGAAATACATATGGTAGATAACTTTTTAAAATATATATTTGGAGTTTGTGTATAGACTGTTATGGTTTGTTAGAAACATGTTTGTGTTTATATGTTGCTGCCTTCTCTTGATTTAATGTTAAGATGGTCACTCAACAGTTGTAAACTGGGTACAGATAACTTTCTTCCCTACTTGCTTACTTTCTTTCCTGTTTGATTTCTTCATAAAGGTTGTTCAGGCTTTTCTCAAGTTCTGAAGACCTTCACCACCTGCAAGGGCATGCTAGGAGAGATCCTATCTGCCTATGAGTTCATGGACAATGAATGCATGCAATTGGTGGAGAGACACCTCAATCTGACCAACCCAGTGGCAGGTACCATCATGTCATATGGAAAGTTCCACAGCAAGAATTCTGCGACTAATTTTGTTTGCCAAAGTAGTTGCTTCCACAAAGAAATCAAACATCTGAATTAATATTTACTGGTTCTCTTGATCTTATCTCAGTTTGCAGCTAATCTATTGTCCCCTGTAACTTAGAACCAGAATTTCTGCTCATGGTTGTACTGTACTACCGTGTTTTCCTGAAAATAAGACAGGGTCTTATATTATTTTTTGCTCCAAAAACAGCATTAGGGCTTATTTTCACTGGATGTTTTATTTTTTTATAAATTGTGCCTGCAGAAGAGTATTAATGTCACTGCTGGGGGAGATTTTAGATAATTCTTCCTTCTGTACCATGGTTTGTTCAACTTGTAAGTAATCACTTTCACTGATTGTAGGCTCTGGAACAGTAAAAAGAAATCTTTAATTACTGAAATTTCCTTTGTGCCAGTGATGTTATCATCCTTCCAGAGACATTATTTATGCAGCAGGATTCTGGCCGTTTTTTGTTGAACACTGAGCTGTGCAACTTTGTGACTTGAGACAATTACATTGTTTGTAATCTGCCAGCGTATACCGGTAACCGCACAAGAGAATTTTGGCTGTAGTCTTAACAGTGAAGAATTACTGATGGTAGTGTAATTATGTAATTTTAGACTCTGGTTTTAATGTATTAGAGCCAAAGTTAATTATTTGTAAACCCATTGAAATGAATTAACTATACGTTAGTTCAACTAGTGTGAATGTAGCTTATTTGCAGTTATAACAAGAGAGGCCTTCTGTTTGTATATTTATGGTTGATTGTTGTAGTCTGATTCTTAATTCTCTGTTTATAATTCCAGAAAGCCCTTTCTACGTGCTAATTGAGACTTCGGGCTCCAATTCTGCTCATGATGAGGAAAAACTGAGCCACTTTCTGGAACATGTCATGGCCTCTAATTTAGTCATAGAGGGAACTCTAGCTTCTGAAGATAAAAAGATAAAGGTGAGTGGTTTGGGGCTGTAATTTGATTCTGAATTATCAACTGATCAGATGTTTGCTCATGTAGGTTTCTCCAAATCTTTGCCATATGTGTGCATTCAGTATTTTCTTTTTTCTTTTTGGCTCTTTGTTATAGACTCCTTTATTCTGTCATTAATTGGAATATTGCAAATTAATCAGAAGGTTAATGAAGAGTCTTTAGGTGATATCAAGAAGCACAGAAATGCTTTTTCTAGATGGCAGAGCTGCTCTTTGAACTATTCTGAACAAAACAATTTGAATTGTACACAAAAGGTTTTTTTGAGAGGACAGCATGGTGGGAAAGCACGTTTATGTGTATCAGAATTTTGTCCCCTCTGAAAAACAGAATGGCCTAAGCTGGACCAGAACTGCTTAGTGCAAGCAAAATAATACAGTAATTCCGCTTATTAAAATTCATTTTTAAAAACCCTACAATTTAACTTTTGGTAGCTACTGAGTGTTGGGTAAATTTGAAATTTATTATGTGTCTGAGACCAATGTGCTCTGTATAGATTTACAAAACTTGGAAGAATTACTTTCTTGGATAACAGTGACATCCCAGCAAAAAAAGGTTAATGGACACTTTTCCCCATGTGTTGTCCGACCTTTCCATAATATGAATTTCTTGGATGATAATTCCCAGAATTCTGTAACCATCATATTAGTGGCCCTGGGATTCTAAGATATGTAATCCAAATGTAAATGTTCCAAGCTCTTTAGATGCTTGGGTAGCACAGAATTCGTGTCCAGTAGATGTTTTCCTACTGAAAGCATTTTTCCCTTTTCCAAATTACTCCTCTGGTCTACTGCAGGCACTATGGGCTTTACGGGAACGGATCACAGAGGCTCTGACTTGTGATGGTTGTGTTTACAAATACGACATTTGTCTCCCTGTGGAAAGAATCTATGATCTTGTGACTGAGATGCGGACACGTCTGGGCAAAGGTGCCAAGAATGTGGTGGGCTATGGCCATCTAGGTGAGCTGGAGCTGTTCTTTTTCTTGACCATTTTAAATTAAAGAGTTATTGTTTATATCGTTAAGTCATGTCCAACTCTTCATGACCCCATGGACCAGAGCATGCCAGGCCCTCCTGTCTTCCACTGCCTCCCAGAGCTGGGTCAAATTCATGTTGGTAGCTTTGATGGCACTGTCTAACCATCTCATCCTCTGTCGTCCCCTTCTCCTCTTGCCTTCACACTTTCCCAGCATCAGGGTCTTTTCCAGGGAGTCTTCTCTTAAGGAAATCAACCCTGAGTGCTCACTGGAAGGACAGATCCCGAAGCAGAGGCTTCAGTACTTTGGGCATCTCATGAGAAGAGATGTAGCCTACTTAGTTTTTGCATAAATAATTCATTGCCCAAGTAAGGCATTCTGTAGAAAATATACTTAAAATCTGAAAAACAAAAAATGCTTCATGTTCCTGCCAACCAACCCAAGTCATGTCTTGAATGAAAATTATTTGTTACTCACTACATTGCACCCATTGAATGGATGGATGTGTTGGACACTTTTTCTTTTCAGATCAATTCCTAACTTTAGTTTCCTTTGACAGGAGATGGAAACCTGCACCTGAACATCACAACAGAGTCCTACAGTCAGTCACTCCTGGATGCTATTGAACCATATGTGTATGAGTGGACTTCCAAGTATCGTGGAAGCATCAGTGCAGAACATGGCTTGGGCTTCAAGAAGAAGCATTATATCCACTACAGTAAGCCTGAGAAGGCAGTCTTTCTCATGCAACAATTCAAGTCTATGTTGGACCCCAAAGGGATTCTCAACCCTTACAAGACTTTACCAGCAAAAGTCATATGATTGTCTCTCGGCAGGTGGAAAAAAACCCTCTCTTTTGTTTGGAGACTTTTTTAGTACAATGTCTTTAGGTAGCTGTAAACAAATAGTGAAACTGTAGTTGGAAATGAAGCCTTGGGGTTGCTTTTGTTTTTTCTAGAGTGCAAAAATGGTAAAAGAGTTGAGTTCTATTTCTATTTTTGTCTTGGAGCTTGTACACTTGGAAGTGTCCGGAAAGCAGAGAATATTAATCATCTTAGTAACACAGTTCTCTGGGAAACGTAATTTCAGGGTTTCAGCTCTTTTCCTGTTTTCAAGGCTTTCTTCTTATTAGAACATTGAAGATATGAGAATGTTTAGTTCCCCAGTTGTTACTAGACTCAGTTCTTACCAGCTAGAGCCAGTGGTCAATTGGATGAGGGGAACTGTATTCCAAAGACACCCAGAGGGCCACAGATTCCTGTCTTTTGCTATTCAGGCAGTACAAGTGGAACTTTCCAGGTTGATCTAGTGAATGATACACAGCAAGAAACATCATTTTGCACAAGGAGATCACAATGTTTTTCATGATAGCTTCTCTTTCTGCCATTCCCACACATACAGTGGTACCTCGACTTACGAACGTCTCCACTTACGACCATTTCGAGTTATGAATGGCTCCGGTCGCAAAATTTTGCTGCAACTTGCGAGTGGAGACTCAACTTACGAACAAAAAACCCCTTTCGTGCCCTTTTTAGACCTAAGTTCATCTTAGGTCAAAAGAAGAACAAAAATTTAAAATTCTCCCCCTAGTGGTAGAGTATGGATTAACTGGCTTTGCATTAGTTCCTATGGGAACTAATGCCTCTACCTATGAATAGTGCCTCGACATAAGAACGAAAAACAGCCAGTACAGATTAAGTGGTTTTCAGTGCATTCCTATGGGAAATTTTACCTCAACTTACGAACTTTTCGACGTACTAACACCGTTCCAATACGGATTAAGTTCGTAAGTTGAGGTACCACTGTATCTAGAATACAAACAATAAAAGCAAGATTATGCAAGATTGTTGAGAAAGAGAAGTGGCTGTTTGTTGTATGCTTTGAATGGGAGGCAAGCAATAAACATTTCAATATTGTTTCTACTGAGGAATAAAACATAAAGAAATTGTTACACATATTGAAAATATCTGTATGATCTCTTTTGTGTTACAGCAGAGACAACTCTATCCAGTAACAGTGGTGCCTCGCTTAACGACGTTAATTCGTTCCAGTGAAATCCGTGTAGAGCGAAAACATCGTAAAGCAAAAATAAAAACCCATTGAAACACATTTAAACCCGTTTAATGCGTTCCAGTGGGCTAAAAACTCACCGTCCAGTGAAGATACTCCATACGGCGGCCATTTTCGGTGCCTATATAGTGAGGAAATATAGCTTATTCCCTAAACACAGCGGGGAGCCATTTTGAGCACCCGGTGACCATTTTGAAAACCCAACGATCAGCTGTTTTGATTGTTGTAATGCGAAGAATTGGTTCCCGAAGCAGGGAACCGATCTTCGCAAAGCGAAAAAACCCATTTAAAACATTGTTTTGCAATCACAAAAACATTGTCGTGAAGCGGATTTGTCGTAATGCAGGGTAATCGTTAAGCGGGGCACAACTGTATGTAGTTTCTGCCTTTCCTGGGAATGCCACTAGAAATTAAATTTTTGCTATTTCCATTACTTTTAAAAGGCTAATTTGGTTTGACAACAGTGCTAAACAAGTTGTGATCTGCAACAAAAATTTCATTAAGATACTTGAGCTGATTATTTTACTGCTGCCATGCAACCATTTCTTCATAATGAAAAAAAATGAGGTCAGTGCCACCTTTATCAAATAAAACATATTTTATTTGATGTAAGCATTAACGGATTTCAGATGCTGCTCATTTGGCAGATATTGTGTGCATGCTAGCTATAATTATGCCTGCCAATTGAGTCTAGATTCTTTCCATGATCTGATGAAGTCGGTTGCTGCCCATGAGAGCTTGTGCAAAGTAAAACTAAGATGGCACAATGCTCTCTGTTGTTTTTGTTGCAACTGACTGACTCCACTGTCGCCTTGTAATTTTTCACCATTGTGGTGAGTTAGAAGAAGAGCACATGTAATATTGACATCCTGCTCTTTCATTCAATAGGAAATCATTTGTGGGCATGTTGTTTGCCAGGCACTGTCTTTGAGCTCGAGATTAGATTTGGACAAGCTGAGATTGTGGTAGTTTGTGCAGAAAAGAGTAGTTGTGGACTTCATTAGTGATGTCCCATATTATATATAGATGGTTCCAGCCATGTTCTCCTATGCTGCTGTTACAAAATAAATTGATTCTGCTGAGGGAAGCATATTTCCTGAGAAAGATAGCACTTCATTTAACAAAAATCTCTCGAAGTGTGTTCCCTTGACCAAACATTTGTAGGTAAGTAGTATGTTACAAATAAAGATCCTTTGCTATGCAATGTACAGCTGGACTGGAGAAACGTGGACCATCTAGACATTGCTGAACTCCAGTTCTGTTTGGTCCCAGCCAGCCTGGCTAGGGGTGAGCCATAGTGGGAATAGCACTGCATCAACATGTGGAGGATAACAGCTTCTCAGCTATTGATGTAAAGAAATGTGGATTAATGTATATAGCTCAGAACAAAAATCCCTGAATTTTGGCAGTTGGAGATGCTGTGGCTATGCCATGTTAAGCCAGTGGTGCCCAATATTCTAGGGGAATGTGTTATATTAGACCAGTGGAACTTGCTTTTGAGTTAATGTGCATCAGATTGCTCAATAAAACCACATATTTCAGGAAATTATTATAAAAGAATAACATTTAGAATACTAATATTGCTAATGAGAGTTAGTTGTTAGTAAGAAAGCATTGCATGCTTGGCTTTACTGCATTAGTATAAACTAAGTATTTTACCCTTGGTTATTGTATTCTGTTACTGCAATAATCATGTCTCTGTTTAGAGCCCTAATTCAATATCAGGATTTGAAGGCAGAAGTCATAGAGTTGATAGCAGGCATGAGAATGATGAATCCACAGGCTGTACAGTGGGGTCTCTACTTAAGAACTTAATCCGTATTGGAAGGTGGTTCTCAAGTGGAAAAGTTCTTATGTAGAATCTGCATTTCCCATAGGAATGCATTGAAAACCATTTAATCCGTATCTGCTCTTTTCCGTCCATAGAAACTAATGGGAAGCTGCTATTCTGCCTTCTACCACTAGAGGGGGAATTTTTTTCTTTTTTTCCCCCTTAGGTCAGGGAACAGTGTTAAAAGCACTTCTGACGAAGCTAATTTTGAAGCAATGGACTGAAAACCAATTAATCCGTTCTGGCTGTTTTTTTGTTATGTAGAGGTGCGTTTGTACATTGAAGCATTAGTTCCCATAGGAACTAATGCAAAGCTGGTTAATACGTACTCTACCACTAGGGGGAGAATTTTTTTTTAACCTAAGATGACCTAAGGTTAAAAAAGAGCAAGAAATGTTTTTTTCCTGTTCTTATCTTGGATTTTTGTTCTCAAGTAGAAGCAAAATTTAGCAAACGGAGCTGTTCTTAAGTGGAATTGTTCTTAAGTAGGGACGTTCTTAAGTAGAGACCCCACTGTATGTGCCTGGCAAGGCTGGGTTTTTTGGCACCCAGTTTAGAATTTTAAATAAGACATCTCCTTCAGGGGTGCAGTTCTTTTCTAAAACAAATTGTCTCTGTGTTTGTTTGAATTTTGTTTCAACAAAGCAACTTTGCTTTAACAAAAGAGTGTCTCTCTTAAAAATGAAGTGTGTGTGTGTGTGTGTGTGTGTGTGTGTGTGTGTGTCTGTCTGTCTGTCTGACTGACTGACTGACTGACTGACTTCAACAGAAGTGACCTTCCATTGCGCATGGACCAGAGTGGTGAGTGCCCCAACATCAAGATAGGGATGCAGCTGGGCAATCCGCCACAGATGGAAATAGGCAGAGCGGACCACTGATGGCACCTGGGTTTCCATGGTGAGCGTCAGATCCAGATGGACCCCCCAAGCTGCAAACCTCACTCTTCACAGTGAAAGTCACTACCCCAAAAGAGAGGGAGTTTCCTACATGAGGGTATCCATGTACTGTGTGATGTTGCGTTGTCATGTATGCACCTGCTTGTCTCACACCACTCTGCTTGGGCATTGGAAAAGGATGTCCTATACTTTTACTGATTTTGTGCATGTAAAACTGTCACTACAGATTGTCATGATGGTCAGGGAGCCCTGCTACACCCACTCTACCACACTGCCCCTTTGGTTTCCTACATGAGGGAATCCATGTACTGTGTGATGTTGCGTTGTCATGTATGCACCTGCTTGCCTCACACCACTCTGCTTGGGCATTGGAAAAGGATGTCCTATACTTTTACTGATTTTGTGCATGTAAAGCGGTCACTACAGATTGTCACGATGGTCAGGGAGCCCTGCTACACCCACTCTACCACACTGCCCCTTTGTTTCCTGCGTTTGTGTGAGACCAAGATAGGTTCAGTGTGGTATTGGCAGCTCTGACTGAAAAGGAACTTTCTGTCACATCAGTCTATGACCTAGATGTGCGCACCAAGAAGCCAGCAATACACAAAGCTATACACTACCCAGCATGGCAGCCCTGTTGTGTAGTACTGCTGTCAAAGACACGTAACTCGTTTTCAGTAAATAGTTCAGGAGTTAAAGTTTAGTACTCCAATACCCAAGTCAATAACTAGGCTTTAATTTAGAGAAGATTTTTTATATTAAAGAAAAGGAAAATGGTAAAAATAGGTAAAAAAACAGTTAAAGACAAGTTGTGGGGGGGGGGAATTGAAGATCCCAGTACAGAAATAACAAACCTAGTGTCTCTGTGTAATAATTGCCATTAACATAGAGTACAGCATAGTTTCAAAGCATACAGAGAGTCCATATCACTGGAATCTAAATAACAGCTTCTCAGACTTCTTGTTAAAGGCTCCCCCTCAGACGGTAGGACAACTGAGAAATGACTAGAGTGCAGGTTCACTCAAGGCCAGCCCAAGATAAGTCTCCTTGGGTGAAGACAAATTGCATATACTGACTAGATTGACAGCTAACTGGTTTTTCAGTCCTGGAAACAAAGCAAAATCTTCCGGTCCACCTGTGGGCAGCAGACTCTCTTTAGGGTTCACAGAGCAGGCCAAGTGACCACAGAGTTCTGATC